TGACTATATCAACATCATTTGGGAATTAGGCAGAAATGCAAATTCTCGGCCTCATCTTCCTCATCTGCCCTGAAATAAATTCAAGGGCAGGCCCAGCAACCTATGCTTTAACTAGACCGCTAAGGAATTCTGATGCATACTCAATTTTGAGAACCAATGAGAACCAACAAGAGCCATAAATTAATGGTAGAATGTGGAAGAGTCAATTATAAACAACAAATATCCAATCTACGTGAGACAAAGCTGCTGCAAAATGTTGGCAATCAGCAGAAACCAGAATGCCCTAGAGACCCTGCAGAGACCCAGAGTGACTGAAGCACAACATCCCCTAATTCTGTCTGAGAAAATATGCTAGAGTAGTAATGAGAACAAAGACTGGACACAGAAACAACTGACTATTAATCCAGCCTTGATTTTGAGCAGCTTTATTTCATAGTTCTATCATGCCATGACTATCAACATACTTCCATTCTGATGTTTCAGTACTTACTGATTTCAAGTTCATTCTCTATTAGCTCATAAATATTCTAGACAAAAAGTTCCATATCAAATTTGGACTCAAAATTACTGCAGGTAAATAAGTATCTTAGTTACAAAACTAATTTTGAAATTGAGTCCACTATCCCAACCTGGGACAAGCTTGTACCATAAACCACACATTTTAAAGCATAAAGCTTTTTAACTTTTTGGTTAAGTTCCTTGTTTAGAATGAATTCTTTATTACTTCCACACATTCCTCCTAGATTTCCCTCTATTAGTTGAGAATTAATTTTATGTCAGGAAAACAGAGAAAAAAGCCCTATTACCTACCGTGGTGTACGGCGTTTTATAGCATTGTTTAAAGAAACGTGCTTCTTTTCAATGATGCGGCTTAGGTGGTCAATGGTGTCACAACATTGTTGAATTGTACCTGTATTCAAATATAAAAATATGTTTTCAAAGATATATAACTGACTGTTCACAAATTAGTGTTATAAATTTATTGGCTTAGCTTTTAAATTTTAAATGTTATTTTACAAGGCTTGATACTGCCTCACCCCACAAAATACAAATCATTGTATGTCCAAAAACGAAACCTCT